TTTTCCCCAGAAGTAGATCTGCAGAATTTTCTCCCCAGGCACCTCACTTAGCAGCTGAGTGTGTTAATTGCTTGCACCACACAGGGATGGGAGTAACTGCCAATGCAGGAGCCCTCCCCTACCTTTCCAGTCTCAGTCTCCCTGACGTCATAGCTGACCTCTGACCCTGTGATCTAGCTGCCTCCTTGATGCACCCCCAGGCCCCTCAGTCACTGCGTCCTGGCCCCACTCCTGCAGTCCCTAACGCTTCTCCTCTCAGGGGCAGTTTTAACTAGGGGCCTCACGAAGCTGGTTCCAGCTCGGAGCGACCCCCTGCACAGAAAGAAACCCTGCCGGGCCCTGCGCCATGCTCACAGCCGCTATGCGCCCACCCACTGGGTCAGTGCGCCTGGTGGGGGGCTTCCTCTTCGTCGCTGACCCTCTTCCTACTGGATTACCCAGCTACGCTCCGGCCTCCTGTCCCCAGGGCTGCTGCCCGCGTCCTCCCCTCTCCACACTCGCAGCCCAGCTCTGCCCAGGCCTCTCCTCTCTCCATGGACCCTCGGCCCGCCTGCACGCCGCCGGCCTGCCTCCAGTCTCTCCTGCCCCCTCAAGCACGTCTGGCCTTCTCCCCGTCTTTTCCAAGCCTGGTGCCGAGACAGCCTGAATGGGGAGAAAGGGCGTGTCCTGGCGCCCTGAGCCCCCTTTGCCGCCCTCGCGGGCTCGGGTCTCCCTGTCGGGTGGGAGCTCCACGGGTGGACTTGTCTCCATGCTGGCCCCGCGCCAGACACCCCCATCCGCAATCCAGACTCAGCCTGGATGGGCGGGAACGCCCTCTTCGTCCAAACGCTGGGTGGGGGGCAAGCGAAGGGAGCAACGACGGCCGATGTAGGAACAAAACCCCACCCAACCCGACGCTGGTCACTCCGGCTCGCGGCGCCCCCGCGCGGTCAGAGTCGGCAGTGCCCTACAGGGCGTTCAGGGCTACCACCGTTCTCATACTAGGCCTATCTTCCAAGGTGCCAACTGGGTGGACTGGAACCTCCCACCCTTTGGTTAGCAGACAACTGACTGTTCACACCACCAGGGGCAGAATCACTGCCCAAGCAGAACACCAGAAAGAGAAAACAACAACGCATCGCCATGGCGCCAGTTCGACTTATGGGGCCCCCGTCAGTCACAGAGCTGTGCTGCAGTGGGTATCCGTGGCTATCCCCTTTCGGAGCTCTGGTGGCCTAGTGGCTAAGCCATCTGGCTGCTAGACAGAAGGTCAGCAGTTCAAACCCACCAGTCACTCGGCAGAAGGAAGACAGGGCCATCTACTTCCGTATAGATTTACAATCTTAGAAACCCACTGGGGTCGCTCTGAGTCAGAACCCAGTGAGTTTGGTTGGGTTTTTGTTAATCATCTTTCGGGAGATCAGCAGGCCTTTCTGCAAGGTGCCAAATGGGTGGACTCGAACTGCCAACCTTTCAGTCAGCACCTGAGGGCTCAAGGCTTCGTCCCACCCAGGGGCCGGTCGACAGAGGAAGTCCTGGAATCCCGGCGCTAGGAGATGGCGGGGGTACTACACACCACCGCTTCACGCCTTCCCTCCCGCCTCTCACCCGCCAGCAGCTTGCCTCTGCCATGCTGGGGGGATCCTGTGTCCTGGGACCATGGTGACCGAGTGTGAATGCTGCCAACACTCGCCCTCGGCCGCCACCGTGCCCCACAGCCCTGTGGTCCGTGCACCGGCCATGCCCGTGTGTACCTGTCCCGAGCTGCCCTTGTGTGCCCCACACTAAGGCTGTTCCCTGTCCCAGGTGCATACTGCCCAGGCCACCCCTCTCTCTCATTCACTGCCACGTGAGTGACTCTGTCACTCCTACCTACTCTTCTGTCCCTCTGATGCCCTCACGGTCCCTCTTGTTACCGTTACGTGCCGTGGAGTTGATTCCAACCCGTAACGACCCTACGTACAACACAACGAAACACCACCTTGTCCTGCAGCAGCCTCACAATCCCTGCTCTGCCTGAGCCCATCGTCGCAGCCACTGTGTCTGTCAGTCCATCTCACTGAGGTCCTCCTCCTTTCCTCCGACCCCCTAGTTCACTAGACGGCTCCAACAGCTCGCACTCCACTGCTAACCTAGAGGCTGGAGGTTCGAACCCTGAGGCGCCATGGAAGGGCCTGAGGAAGCCAGGGAAGCCCCGTGGGGGCAGCTGTGCCCTGTCACACACGGGGTCTCAGTGGGTCGGAATCAGCCGGACGGCACCAGGTTTGCTTTTTGTGGTTTCTGATGTCCTGCCACGTTCAAAACGTGGACTTGGGTTCTCACTGTAAGGAGCACATAGGAAGACGGGGCCTAAGAGCCCTGGAGGCACTGGGTTAAGCACTCGGCTGAGGACCAAAGGGCTGGCAGGTCGAACCCACTCAGCAGCTCCTTAAGAGGAGGACGAAGGCAGCCTGCTTTCAGCCTTGGAAACCCCAGGGGGCAGTTCTACTACGTCCCATAGGGTCGCAGGAGTCGGACCCAAGTTGTTGGCAACAGGTCTGATTTTGGAGTCATGCATAAGGCATTTGGCTGGTAACTAGAAGGTCAGTGGTTCAAACCCACCAGCAGCTCCATGGAAGGAAAATGAGGCAATCTACTTCCATGAAGATTAACAGCCTCAGAAACCCAGTGGGGGTCACTCTGAGTCAGAATCGACTCAATGGCAGTGTTTTTTGTTTTGTTTTGTTTTTTAACTGACTATTATGTGGGCAGTGCAAACCCACCAGCTGCTCTGTGGGAGGAAGATGAGGCAAGCTACTTCGTAGGGATTTACTGCCTCGGAAACCCAGTAGGAGTCGCTGTGAGTCAGAATCGACTCACTGGCATTTGAGTTTGGTTGTTGGTTTTATGGACTGTTAAGGGAGCTTTGGTGGTGTAGTGGTTAAAGCATTTGACTGCTAACCAGAGGGTTGGCAGTTCAAACCCACCAGCACTCCGTGGAAGGAAGACTAGACACTCTACTTCCATAAAGATTTACTGCCTGGGAAACCCAGTAGGGGTCACTATGGATAGGAATCGACTCCATGGCAGTGAGTTTGGTTTTTTAGTGTTATAGACTATTACAGCTCTGGTAGCACAGTGGCTAAGGCACTTGACTGCTAACCAGAAGGTTGGCGGTTCAAACCCCCCTGCCACTCTTTGGAAGGAAGATGGGGCAATCTACTTCCGTAGTGATACTGCCTCGGAAACCCAAGGAGAGGTCACTATGAGTCGGGTCCAACTCGATGGCACATAATAACAACAACAAGACTGTTAAAAGAGCCGTGGTGACACAGTGGTTAAAGTGCTCAGCTGCTAACCAAAAGGTCAGTGCTCCAAACCCTTCAGCAACTCCACAGGAGAAAGATGTGGCAGGAAGGACTGACAGCCTTGGAAACCCTATGGGGCAGTCCTCCTCTGTCCTAAAGGGTCGCTGTGAGTCAGAATCGACTCAGTGGTAGTGGTTTGGTTTTTTAAAGGAAAACCTCCTTTCCGAGGGTCTAGGAGACCCCCGTGTCTCACTGAACTCCACAGCCACCCTAGGAGGTGAGGAGGTGGTCCCATCACACAGGTGCATGTACGTTAAGGCCTAGAGAGGGCCGTGGCAGGGCCCGAATTCCATGACCAGGAGAAACAGGAGCCGGGAGACCCACCCGACTCCGCATGGGGGTCTTCTCCCCAGACTGGGCTACACTCTGGGCTGTTTCACCATCCCCCACCAGCCTCACCAACCCCTACATGGCCCTCCGAGAACTACCTTCACCGGCTCGCTCACCTTGCTGGCGCCACCCCTCCCAGATCACTGCTGAGTCCCTGGGGGCCCCCAGCACGTACCCATCTCTTGGGGGTCCCAGCACCACCATGGGCCCTGCCGCCAGCCCCACCCCACTCACTGTGGGTGGCAGCCGTCTCCTGGAGTAAGTGGGTCACCTGGGTGAAGATGTCGTGCAGATGGCTTCTCTCGTCATAGTCTGGGGAGGGGTCAGGTGGCAGGGGTCTGGGAGCAGCTTCTGAACCCTGTGTCCCTAACACAGGCTGTCTCTGTCCTAAGCTATCTTTCTCTACATCTACCCCCCAGTCTCTGTGCCCCACCAAAGCTCTACTGCCCTCTCTCTGGGTCTCTGTCCCCCTCTCTCTGGATCCCCATCCCTCTCTCTCTGGGTCCCTGTCCCCCTCTCTTCATGAGTCTCGGCCCCCCACTGCCCCCTCTTCCCTGCATGTCTCTCTCTGAGTTATGTCTCTGAGTCTCTCTCTCTGAGTCTCTGGCTGGCTGGCCCTTTCCAGGCCTCTCTGGGTCTGTCTGCCCCCTGCAAGCCCCTCTGAGTCTGTCTGTCTGTCTTTCCCCTTCCAGCCTGAGTCAGTCTGTCTGTCCCCCCTCTCCAGGCCTCTCTGAGTCTGTCTGTCCCCCTCTAGGCCTCTCTGAGTCTGTCTGTCTGTCCCCCCAGGCCTCTCTGCCCCTTCTGCGTGCCCCCAGGGCCCCCATGGAGGTGGTGGGTGTCTTACTGATCTCAGTGTCACGGAGGCCTTGGAAGGCGGCTGTGAACGCGTCCTCACACTTCTGCAGCGCCGGTCCCTCTATCCCGACGAAGAGCTGGCAGACGCGCAGACGCTCCGAGTAGGTCGTGAAGCAGAGGAGGCAGGCCCCCACAGGCGCCGTGACGGCCGCCAGGGCCCCAAGGGCTGACAGGGCCATCACTGGGGCCAGCAGCGCCATGGCTGAGGGCTCAGGGCCTGAGAGAAGCTGGGGAGCTTTGTGAGGTCACTGTACGGCGGGGGAGGGGCCACTGGATGTGGGGTCAGAGGTCAGATTTCAGCCGTGGTCAAATGTCAGTCTCTGGGTTTTCAGGAGGAAGGGGGTCAGGGGTCAGGGGTCAGGGGTAGGCGGTCGGGCCGGTGATCCCCAGGCTGGTGGTTGGGCCGGACGCCAGGCTCCCAAGAACCTCACCTGTGACCCTGGACATCCTCACAGGTTAAAGGGTCTCAGGGACCCAGAGGCCGGCGGCTCAGGGAGGGGCGGCCATGAAGGGCGCTGGGCTGGGGGGGTCCAGAGGCAGAGACGGGGAGGGCCAGAGACAAACAGAGACACAGAGAGAGACTGAAGGAGACGGGGGTCTGCCAGGGAGACACAGATACCGCTGAGTGCCAGAGACAGAGAGATGCAGAGATATCGGGACATGGATGGAGAGATGGGGACAGGGTCAGAGAGACCATGAACACAGGAGGAAACACAGCCACCCACCACGAGCGTGAGACCCAGCGACGCACAAGACGGGAAACGGGACGCGGTCGGTGGAGACGGGAGATTCAGCGTGGAGGGAGGCATGCAGGGCCACACGGACACAGCCCAGCTCCTCCTCCCAGGGTCCCTGCAGCAGACCCCTGAGCCCCGGCGGGTGGGGCAGCCAGGGGCTGGGGGGCCCAGCTGGGCCCCCGTCCCGTGCAGGGCGCAGCCTGGGGAAAGCTAGGAGGCCGTATAGTGATCTCCTTGGGTGTCCTCCTCAACTATACAACCTCCTACCTCAGCCCGGGGGGCGCGGCAGGTGGACAGATGGACAGACGGATGGACGGACGGACGGGGTGGGGCCGGGAGGGCGGGGGGCCCAGCCGCGATGGTGAGCCCGACACGGACCCACAGACACGAGCTTGTGTGCGGCGAAGGCCCCGCAAGGTCGGTTCTACGGGTGGGTGCCAGGACCCAGGTGTCCGGGCCCCCGGCCCCCTCCTCCCCAAGGGAGCTAGGAGTCTGGGCCCCCAGCGTCTGGCCCCTTCCTCTTCAGGAGTCCCCCCACCCCAACCCTCAGTGTTACTCCTCAGACCCGCGAGGCAGGTCCACAGTCCCCTCCCCCAGGGATCCAGGAGCCAGGCTTCCAGCCGCCTTCTCCCAAAGGTCCCTGGAAACTCCACCCCCAGGCCACCGGACCCCAGACCCAGGGGTCCAGCCAGGCCTAGACCCTGGAGAAGGCAAAGCCTCGTGGGGGGGAACCTCCCCTGTCTTGCAATTTGGCCCCTGGGGCATCAAGGGCTCCGTTCAGACTGCAGGGAATCGAGACTCGGGGAACCGGGTTCCCTGGGGCAGGCTGGGGGGTCAGGAACGTCCAAGCCTCATCATTGCCCCCCCAGGCTCCCGTGACACCAGCAGCTCTCGGACCCCCAGGCACCCCCTAGGGAGGTGCTGTTTGTGTCCCCATTAGTCAGATGGAGAGACTGAACCTCAGAGCGAGGGGACGGGTGGCCCCCAAGCCAGCCTGGAGGTGGGCGGGGCCAGCCCTCCCAGGCAGGGCCCTGGGACCCCAGAACCCGCTGCAGCCCCCCTGGGCTACGTGTGCCCACCGGGGGGCCTGGGTAGGGTCTCCTGGTCCCACCGGCTCTCTGCGGTCTTTCCTGCGGGTCCGTTCCTCGGCCGGGCCCGGTCCTCTCGGTTGGCCTCACCTTCGCCAGTCTCTTCCTGTCTCCCACCGCTCCCCGCGG